TAACTCAGAGTGCTTCCTGCAGTTCAGGACGTTCTCCTCACCCAGAACTTCCCTGACGATCCATCAGTCATGGTTTTATCTGTCCTTGTGCCTCATATTTTACTGTAGAGCACTTGTCACCGTTTATAAATTCCGTTCTCGTGTTTACTTGCTTGTGGTCCGTACCCCTTCCCTGACCCTTAGCTTAAAGAATGGAAACACCGTATCTGTCTTGTTTAGTAAAATACACCCGACACACAGCACCACCTGTGACGCAATTATTGCTGTTGAATAAACTGGTAAATATTTTAGACGAAGAAACTGAGCCAAAGCGAGGTGGGATAACTTGTCCAGTTAATAGGTTTAAAATCCAGGGTCAGAATGCAGGTCCTCAGCCACAGGCCTCCCACCTTCCCCACCACAGCACAGGTCCACCCTAAGGTGGCCCAACAGGACTTCGTGGGGACCCACTCGATGACTGCATCAAGCAAGGCATGTTGCTTTAGAAAATAAGAGGCAGGGCCGTTGCCAGTGGCATTCACAGGGTAAGACATGCCCAGTCCGCTGCACGCGCATCACCACATGCGCCCTGGGTGAAAAAGAGGGGCCCTGCCAGCAGTCACCGAGCCTCCCTGCACCCGGCCACCCCCGGGGCACTAGCCTTAGGCACTAGCCTCAGGACGAAATGTGCCCCATTCGGCCAACCTTCCGAGCCCAGGCATGCCTGAGACAGGCCACTATTGGATATGTGTACATGCCCATGTAATTCAAATGCAGGCATTTCTTATATATACATATATATAATAGATGTGCAAACTGTGTATATTCAGATGTGTATCTATTGACAATTATACATTTACAGTTTTATCCAAATCTTTATACAGATATGCATACATACCACACAGTACATACATATACACACACACAGGCATTTGGGTATACATGGGAACACGCACACTTACACACAGAGGTTAATCTGTCTGCCATCTCTCCAAATATTTACATCCACCATACAATTCTTGAGAAAAAAGGGTTTCTTGTATTTGGGGGGAACGAAGACAATGTATCGATATTCCGTGTAGTGTCTCTGTGTACACCACACCAAATGGGAGGCAGCGCTTTCTTTACATGCCACTCCGTTAAAAGCTATGTTGTTTAAATACCTATTTGTTTAGATAGTTTTCAGGGTCAGTGCTAGCTGCAAGCACTGGCGAATTTTTAAACAGCGGCAGTTTCTTTTTAGGATGAATGGAAAAGAAAATGCTTAAAAGAGAGAAAAAAAAAGAATTGCCATATAAAGGGGGAACCGCCTACATTTTCAGTGAATATGTCACAGTAACTCCTGGACTCCCAGAAGAATGACAATATTAAACTTTCTGCTGCATGTCCTTATGCCAACGAGTCCTCCCCCAACCCTGAATGATCTACATACTGCTCAGGGTTGGTGCAGGACACCAACTGCTCCAGCCACGCTTATTCCAGAGGCCAGTGTAGACTATCCCTGCCATTTGTGTGACCCAGGAAAGGCATCACTACTTAAAGAATTCAGCATCATTCTAACTTACTTATAGATATCTTATAAATTACATGTACACCTATATATGTATATGCAAAATAGTTATTCGACATACCATGTGAGTCTTACATATTCCAAACGAAGTTCAGCCATCCATCTGCCCCTTCAATTTTTCACAGTCATAGTTACATGTTGGAGAGAAAAATGACCCTTCAAAAGCCAGAGTGGGCCCCAGGAGGACTTCTCTGTGGTCATTTTACCTTGTCTCACTCTGAGTTCCCAGCCGACAGGCAGGTCGGGCTGGTCTTACGCTCCTGCCAGCACTGGCCTTGGTTTGCTAGAAACTAGTGGGACATTTCTCTCTTTCCTCTTTCCATGCTAACCAAGCTAACCATTTTTTTAAATCCTCACCTAAGGATATATGTATTTTTTTCATTGCTTTTCAGAGAGTGAAGGGAGAGAGAGAGAGAAACATCCATGTGAGAGAGACACATCGATTGGCTGCCCCCCAGGCGGGGCGCAGGGGTCAAGCCTGCAACCAAGGTACGTGCCCTCAACTGGAATTGAACCCGAGACCCCTCCAGTTCTAGGGCTGACACTCTAACCACTGAGCCAAACTGGCCAGGGCTGTCTTCCTAAATTTCTGTTGGAATTTTTCTACCTACACTTGATCACTACTGATGAAATGTCTCAATATATTTAATTCCTTCGGAGAATCAACCAAAATTCAGTTTCTACTATTATCTCTTTTGTGTGAGGCCCCAAACTGCTGTTTGAGCCCCACCAAAATCAAGCTGGGGACCCGTCTCCTTACCCGTTAATCCATTTCTTGCCACAGGACCCCAACACTGCTGGCCTTTCCCCCCAACGCTCCCACCTGCACACGGGCGCCCAGCTTCTGTTACTGTCACCGCATCTGCCCCGTTCTCTGGGTCCCACTTCTCTGTGAGCCTGATGTAGTCCCTTTCGTGAACATATAAACTGAATTACGTGTTGAACTAAGCAAACCATCCTCAGGGGAGTCAAGCAGTAAAACGGCACTCAGGGAAACACAGCTGTAGCACTGTCACCCAAGAGAAACGGATTTTTAAAAATCTGCTTATCTCAAGTATATTTATCTCCATCATTCACTGCACCTCTTTTTACCCAAACTTATTGTAACACACACAAACATTCACGCTCACACACACGTGCGTTGATGATAGATGACAGATAGAACCAATATTGACACCTCCACCACATACCCTTATAAATGGATTTAATCTTCAAATTCAATAAATACATTTCATAGATTAGTCATAAAAATGACTAAATGACCAGTAAGAGCACACACAGTATTCTCAAGTCCAACCCTCAACCCCCAAGTTGAACAGCATCATTTAGCTTCTCTGCTTGGTTTTCCGCAGTTCCTGCTGCCCGACCAAACAAAACCCACTGAACAAACACCATACGGGGAGATCACGGCTCTCGCCGGCTCCAAGGGCATGACTCCCTCCCTCTCACTTCACTTCTAGAACGGTCACGAAAATATCTTATTTGTCAAACTGAAAGTTTATGATGCAAAACCAACACTCTTAAGATTTTAACACTTTGCTTGGAATCTTCTGAAAATTATCAATACACCCAATAGAGAAATAAAAGGAAACATACTATCCCAAATCAGACGTAGGAGTGCTACAAGGATAGACCGCATATCTCTATTTTTAAGTATATTTTTCTATGGCAGCAGACACAGCTCACCGCCTTCCTTCGTGGTTGCTGGTGGCAGGTCAGGAAATGCTCTCGAGTTAATGTGATGGACACACTACAGCAGCAGAACACTTCCCGAGCGTGGTCCGTGTGAAAGCGTCACGCACACCAGATAGTCAGCCGTTGTCTCAGCGTAAACCTATGCTAGCTGCTTAAGAACGTCAGAAAGCAGGGTGGCCATCTGAAATTTATAAATATTCAAACCCTTACTGAAAACAGCTTGTATGTGAAGTTTAAATGACATAATACACCAGCAAAGGGCTCCATCCCAAATTCCTACAGAAAGGATCTGTATTTACAGGTGATGTGAACTATGGAAATCCACCTAGCGTTGTCTGGAGAACGTAACGGCAGGCTGCAACTTCGCGTCACCGTCAACATGCACGGCAGAGCCCGTGGCTATCTTCCTAATCATCAAGCCGAAAGCAAAGAACAAAACGAAGCCATATAAAGATGAAACAGAAGGCAAATGAAACTACCACAGCACCGTTTACGATGTCCCTGAAGTGGCCTGAGAAACCAGGTAAACTCCTGAAGCTTTGCTGTATTTTTGTTTTGTGTTTTATTTTTACTATATGGAAGTAAACTGTCCCCAAACACCTTGCTATTCCTCCAGAAACCCTCCCACTGAAAAGAGACTAGTGGAAAACACGAGCTGTGTGGAGAAGAGCCGGGCAGCCTCTTCGTCACGGGATGGCTGCGTGGGAAGCACGGTCCCCCCATCCCGGAGCATCTCCTAGGTGGCCACTCGGTCTGCTTCCCAGCCCCTCCTTCTGTCCACAGCCGCTGCAGAGCAAACGCTGGCCTGGAGCAAAGCTCACCACCAGGCTGCACCCTGTCCCTTCCCTAACACACGCCTCCCTGGTGCAGGTTCCAAACGCCAATATGATCTAGGCATCTCAGATGGATGCGATTTCAATCAAAATCAGTGCCAAACAAACATCTTTGATATGCAAAACATCTATGTTGGTCAATAACACAGAATTATTCCCCCACCCCTGGCAAAAAAAGCAAAAGTTTTCTTTGAAGAGATTAAAGGAAATAGGAACTCTGTAAATGTTACAATACCTGTTGTAATGAAGAAAAAATTGAGGGACAATAATTAAGGGGATCAAATGATCAGAAGGACTGCAACCCAAACGATCTTGGAAAAGGTAATATTTCAGTCTTTAATAAGCGAGTCTAGTATCATCCTCATATGGAAGCATTCTGTGCATATTAAAAGCACATTTCATCAATAAACTTTCATAAGCTGAACATATTAGCAATATCATTTTACACGGGAATTTTAAAATATCAAATAGAATTATGTAGTAAGCTAAGTTTCTTGGGTTTTTCATATTTTCAACCATATTAGATATATAATTAGCCCACCTTAAGTTCTCAAAATCCAATCTGCATTATATGCATTTTGGTGTACAGATGTGCTACTTTTAAACATAGCTGGAGGTGATGTAAGCCCGCATAATTAGGTGAGTCAAGCCAGGGAACAAACCACTGCCGATGAGAACTGGGGAGAGTGGACGGTCGTGGCCCGTTGTAGCTCATTTAACTGATGAGTGTGTGAAGCTCCTGCTTCTATTTTTAAATAATGAATAATCNCGTTGTAGCTCATTTGACTGATGAGTGTGTGAAGCTCCTGCTTCTATTTTTAAATAATGAATAATCTATCTGCTCAAAGGAGTCAGTGAGTGTGGACATGGGTGTGTGTGTGGAGAAGAAATGGAGTAAATTCCCTGATATTTGTTTTCCATTCTTAATTATTCCCCAAAGGTGTTTTTTAAGTAGCAACAGAAGTGAAGGCCAAGAAGGAGCCTCTGAATCTAAGATTTGGCCCCGCTGATGATGTTTCGCTGTCACTGTACCTTTATATGTCCGCAGCCTGCGTGAGCTCTCACAAGTGCAATGAGAGGGGGGCCGTGTCACCTGCTCCCTAAAGAACCAGGTTCTTGAGGGCACTTCAACAGATGAAAACATGTTGGTGTCTGGAGAGATTCTAGAACCTTCTTATTAGAAAAAAAAATCACAAGGAAAATGGTTAATTCGAATAGCAACTAGAAAGTTACATCAACTAATTCCATGCTAGGATCACTGAAACAAATAAAAATAAAATACGCTGTTTTCAAATCTCTCAAGAAAACACCGGTGGCAACAGTTTGATTAGTGATGTAGCTGTATATGCCGTCCAACAACGAGGAAGAGTAATCCGGAGAGCAAAGAGAAAAACACCCCTGCTGGGGCCAGGAAAAATGACCAGCCGTACAGAACAAAAGGCGTGAAATCCAAGCAGTCTTTCATTTTCATGTTCCTGTAGCTTTCCATGTCAGCCACGGCCTGGACCCAGATGACGTACAGCACCACCACCAGGGAGAACAGGACGCCTGAGAGGGAAGAGCAAAGACCGTGAGCCCCTCCGAAGGTGTTTGCCCAGGAACACTCTCCAATCGCTTGCTAATGCTGTTTCCAGCTCAATCACCTACTTTGTGTCAGACCCTTTCTTACAGGCTTTATATGCACCTCGGTTGTGTTTATTTTCAAAGCATTGAGATGAGGGCTACAGCGGCGAGAACCAACAGCTGACGTGGCCTTATTGAGAACCTCCTGTGTGCCAGGCACCGTATTAGGCGCTTGCGAAGGTAAGAGTTAAAGGTCCCCGCCCAGTGGAACTGATTCTAGCATTTACCCATCTTTACTGATGCCTCGTTTGGGATGAGCACCGTAATGCATCATTTCCTAACATAGGTACTATTAACCCCCAGTTTTAAGTATGTGCAAACATAGCTAGTAGTTTTCAGAGCTGATTTTCAGCTCAGGTCTTTCTAATATTGTTATATTATTATAACACAGATAACTACAGTTAAATATGGCCATGGAAATAAAAGCCAAGGTAACTACCAGCCAAGAAAGAGGTGAAACACTAAACTAATGTAAAAGAATATACATGGTTCTTTAAAACTGAAACACACGTTGAAGGTGGATTACGGCGTAAAGATACACTGCCTTTTTTTATAACTTCCTTATAAAGTTTGGATATTAAGCCCTTATCAGATATATCGGCGAATATGTTCTCCCACTCAGTGGGTAGTCTTTTATCTTGTTGATGGCCTCCTTTGGTTTGATGCAGTCCCATTGGCTGATTTTTCCTTGGTCTCCCTCTCCTGAAGTGATATATGAGAAAAAATATTGCTACGAGAAATGTCCGAGACTTTACTACCTATGTTTTCTTCTAGGATTTTTATGGTTTAGAGTCTAACATTTAAGTCTTTAATCCACTCTGAGTTTATTCTTGTGTATGGTGTAAGAAGGGGTCTAGTTTCATTTTTTTTGCATGTATCTGTCCAATATTCCCAACACCATTTATTGAGTACACTATCTTTACCCCATTGTATGCTTTTGCCTCCTTTGCCAAAGATTAATTTACTATAAAGGCGAGGGTTTATTCCTGTTCTGTTCCACTGATCTAAACGTCTGTTTTCGTGCCAGTGCCATGCTGTTTTGATTGCTACAGCCTTGTAGTGTAGTTCGATAGCACGTAGTGTGATTTCCCCCATTTTGTTCTTCTTTCTCAAGATTGCTGTGGCTATTTGGGGTCTTTTGTGATTCCATATAAATTTTTGGAATATTTGTCCTAGTTCCATGAAAAATGCCATTTGTATTTGATAGGGACTGCAGTGAATCTATAGGTCGCTTTGGGTGGTATGGACATTGTAATGGTGTGAATTCTCCCTGTCTGTGAGCACGGAATATGCTTCCACTGACTTGTATCTCCTTCCGTTTCTTTCCTCAGTGTCTTACAACTTTCCAAGTACAGGTCTTTTACCTCCTTGGTTATATTTCTTCTTAGGTTTTTTTTTTTTTTTTTTAAAGCATTATAAATGGGATTGTTTTCTTAGATTCCTTTTTTAATAGTTTATTATTAGTAGATAAAAATGCAACTGATTTCTGGATATTTATTTGGTATCCTGATACTTTACTGAATTCATTTATCAGTTCTAGTAGAAGTGGAATTGCTGGGTCACTGGGCAGTTGCATTTTAATTTTTTGAGGTAACTCCATACTGCTTTCCACAGGGGCTGCACCAGTCTGCATTCCCACCAACAGTTCCCTTTTCACCACACCCTCGCCAACACGTTACTTGTTGANCCACCAACACATGTTACTTGTTGATTTATTGATGATAGCCATTCTGACAGGTGTCAGGTGATNTCGCCAACACGTTACTTGTTGATTTATTGATGATAGCCATTCTGACAGGTGTCAGGTGATACCTTATTATAGTTTTTATTTTCATTTATCTGATGATTAGTAATGATAANTACCTTATTATGGTTTTTATTTTCATTTATCTGATGATTAGTAATGATAAACATCCTTTCATGTGTCTGTTGACCATCTGTATGTCCTCTTTGGAGAAGTACCTATTCAGGTCCTCTGCCCATTTTTTAATTGGTTTGGGAATGCAGATTGGTGCAACCACTGTGGAAAGCAGTATGCAGTTACCTGAAAAAATGAAAAATGGAACTGCCTTATGACCCAGCAATTCCACTTCTGAGAATATGTCCAAAGAAACTCACAACACTAATTCAAAAGCATATATGCACCCCTATGTTCACTGCAACATTCTTTACAGTAGCCAAGATTTGGAAGCTGCCCAAGTGTCCATCAGTAGATGAGCGGATAAAAAAGCTGTGGGACATTTACACAACGGAATACTACTCAGCAGTAAAAAAAGAAGAAAATCTTACCTTTTGCTACAGCATGGATGAACCTGGAGAATATTATGCTAAGTGAAATAAGCCGCTCAGAGAAAGACAAGTACCATATGATTTCACTTATATGTGGAATCTAATGAACAAAATAAACTAACAAACAAAGTGGAGACAGACTCATGGATACAGAGAACAGACTGACAGCTGTCAGGGGGGTGGGGTTGGGGGCTGGATGAGAAGGATGTTGGGATTAAGCAAAGAAAAAACAGAGACTCCTGGACACAGACACAATATGGTGATTGCCAGAGGGAAGGGGGGTGGGGGAGTTAGAAGAAAGTAAAGGGGGGATAAATGGTGATGGAAGGAGACTTGACTTGGGCAATAAACACACAATACAATATACAGATGATGTGCTGTTGAATTGTACACCTGAAACCTATATGATTTTATTAAGCAATGTCACTCCAATAAATTCAAATGAACTAAAAGAAACACTGAGGGAGGGGACTGAAAAGAAAAGATTCTATGGAAGAGAAAACCACAGGTTTGAGATCAAAAGCCTATTAAATAAAGAAAAGGAGGGAAGG